TGTCTGTGTGTGTGTATGTCTGTGTGTGTGTGTGCGCGCACAGCTGCCTCTGTGGGGACCAATGTGAGTTTTAGGTCTTTAGAGTGAGGGCGTTTTCAAACTTTTAAAGGGCTGTTTCAGAGTTAAGTCTAGGTTTTAGACATAAGTTCTGAAACAGTCTGCCAATGGCGGTCCCCGTGAAGACAGGTGTGCAAAAGTGTGTGTGCGCTTTATATCGACAGGCTTTTGGGGTTGACCACCCGGCCGATAAAGAGCAGCGCCCCTGAGGTTTCATCCCGGATCAGGTAGAGGAAAGGGCGGTCCACTCGGTATGTCAGGTGGCTTGCCGTTGTGTCGCTCGGGTACTGATTCCCCTCTGGCGCCGTCTCCATCGTGACCTTGTGATTGACAGAAATAAGTTTGGCAGCCTGAGTGGAGATTTTCTCCAGCTCCGGGTTGTCTAGCCATTCAGAGAGACCTGCCGAGAGGGAGAGGAGGACGACCATGTTAATCAATCAGCAGAAAAAGCCTACACTACTACGGCTTCATGAGTGGGTTTTTTCCCTGAATGAACAGTTCGGCATTGATATATAAATACTAGTATGCTCCTATATTAGAACCCTCGAGTAAAAAACGTGGTGGATGAAACTGACCAAGGTCGCCGAGCAGCGGCAGCAGGTCTGTGGAGTAGCTGAGCTTCAGGACGGGCAGAGTAATGGACACTTTGGCAGGAAGTAGCGTCATGGAGAGGTCCTGGACAAACTCAGAGGTCAGACTCTCCTCCACAAGGGTCATGTTGGAGGTCACATCCTCGGGCAAGAAGATGAACATGCTGACATCGTCCTGCATCTGGATCTGAGCGATCTGAACGAGGAGAAAAACATGAAGAAATGTGCTGCAGTTACGCTACTGTAGCCATCGTTCGGAGACAGCTGCCGTGAATTCTTGTTTGATTTTATTTTTAAACTTAATAAGAAATGTCTGTCAAAGACCTGATAAAACTATTTTAGTCATTTAGCTCTATCCACTTCTATTCATTAAGTATAAGCTCATTAGTGCCCCCTACTGCATCTACAGCTGAACTGCAGAACTATTTTTGTACAATGGGATGAATGAAAGGAAGTAGAATGGCTCTGTTAGATCTGCTCTGCCATCATCGGGAGCTCAGCAGCGTTTTCCTCTCTGCCTTTGTTTTTAGTAATAAATATCAACCCTGTATTATTTTTTCCTTCGTAAAAAATGGGATTCTTTTGCATTATCAGTAAAGTCCATTTAAATTTGTATAAATGTCCTTGGGCGAGACACTTCACCCGTTGCCTACTGGTGGTGGTCAGAGGGCCCGGTGGCGCCAGTGTCCGGCAGCCTCGCCTCTGTCAGTGCCCCCCAGGGTGGCTGTGGCTACAATGTAGCTGCCATCACCAGTGTGTGACTGGGTGGATGACTGGATGTGTAAAGCGCTATGTAAATACAGGCCATTTACCATTTAAATGAAACTGGATAATAACCTGCTTCCGTTTAAAGCTATTCATCATGCTCACCGTGCAGCCTAAGTCCGAGTCAACTCCCATCTTCACTGGGTAGTTATCCTGTTGCATCATGGGAACGCGCACAGGTGCTGCGCCATCCACCTGGAAGTTTTCCAGCCCTCCACTCTGAGCGAACCGAGTCGTCCACTTCCCTGTTAGGACAGGAAACTAACCCATTATTCATCATGGCTGAAACTCACTTTGAGGATCAGTCACTTGTCAGAACCTGTTCATGGCTTCAGTGGCAGAGGACATGGATACACAACCATACACTTTGAATTTGTTTCATCTTTTCCAAGATTCGCTAAACAGATAAAGGTCACTTTGTAGCAGCGATCGGTCTATAGTCAGCTCTCTGAGTTAGTCTCATTCCTAAAAACTTTAGTCAGGTGCCCCAAAGTTCAGGTGCGTTGAACACGTGAGCCGATCACTTCACCTACACATAAACCCATACACGAGCATTTTGGAAAAAACTCTTACAGTTATCTGATAAGTAATATTGATCACTGCATCACCGTATGGATTTTATTTATATGATAATTCTAACTAATTCGTAGATATCTGTGTCTGCAGAGCTGAAGACGTACCTTTAAAGTAGGCGGCGCTCACAATGCTCATGCCGGCGGCGCGAGGGAGGGGCTTGGTCAGAAAGCGCTGTACTTTCCCGCCCGTCTGCTGAGACACCCAATCGTTGATTTCTTTCACATCTTTGGATCCTCCCAGCAGCGCCTTGGGGCGAACTCCATACTGCTGCTCCACAAGACCAAAGAACTCCTGCTTCAAACGAAGTCCTGACAACATGAGAGAACATTAGGATCTCACAGTAAAGACTCAAACACAGAGACAGCGAGCAACCACCAGGTCCACCTGGCTCCTTTACTCCAGCTCACCTCTGTAAACAACTTCATGAAGAGTTTATTGTCTCAGTCACAAATTTCAGTCCAAACATTTCAAACATTAAATTACGGTGTAAGATAAGGTGAAGGTGCTTAGCTCACTTGGCTGCATCTGATGAAACTGCAATGTCTTCTTAACAACTAAACACCAAAATCCTTTTTAGGCTTCTGATGGTTTTATTGCTCACGTTGAATTTTTCTCCTCACATTTCTACCAGAACTCTTCCCAGAACGTTGAAACACAACTGAGCCAAACACATTTTTTTTCTATGGTCATCGGGTCCGGCTCACGCACCAGACGCTGCCCCTCAGCGGGCTTCCAGGAGAAAGCCAACCAGAAATGTTGGGTTTAATGGATAAGGTCCCTAAAGAGGCAGGACTACAACTGCACCTTTTTGAAGTTTCTGTGTAACACATCAAATAAATAAGACCTTTTGTTTTTATACATCATGCTAAGCTCCTTCGGAGGAGTAGGAATGAAAACTTGACGCAGGACATAAAAAAGAAATGAGCTGAATTTGTGTTCTGTTGTTTTGGTTTAGCTGCAAAGTCACAGCTGATGTTTAGACTCCATCTCAACCCCAACGTGAACTCACGTCTCGCCAGGTACAGGCGTGCAGCGGTACTCAGGCCTTTCCCCGCCGTCCTGACTGAGGCCAGCATGTCCTTCAGGGTGTTGTGGAGCTGAGGGTCCTGCAGGGTGTGGTACCTCAGGGCCCTGTACAGCTGCCTCTGAGCATGCTCAGATCCTCCTAGAGGGACAGGAGGGCTTGTGTTAAGGTCACAAACCTCTGACACAACTGTTTTATTCACTAGAGAAACAGACGTGGGCATCACTTTTACTGTAAGAATGTCTCTGTTTTTAAATTAATATTCTCCACTAAGGCCCTCGTGTCCACCTCCTCCACACGGTGGCGGTGTTGTACAATCTTAGCTTAGTTGAAAGTGAACAGAGGAAAACTAATTGTGAAAGTATGAAAACAGACAGAATAATTCACAATGGAGAAAAAACAAAACTGTTCCCGTGACACTGACGGTGTTTTTGGGAGCAGCAAACAGAATGACCTTGAGCCAGTCTGGCCTCTGAGCTCGTACCAACACTAAAGCCGAGGCTCAGGTTTGGACTAAGTTTGTGTGTTTGTGTCTTCACCCATGGACAGCTGAGTCAGCGCCTCGGACACGCTGAGCGGGGACAGGAAGACGTTGGTGGAAGCGTCGCGGCTCGCCAGGACGCGGAAAAGGTTGTAACCGAAGTCGGAGGTGGCAGCACCCATCTTTGTAGTCGGAGTCGTGAAGAGCTCCATGTGTTCCTCCTCTCCGGCTGCCTCCTCGCCGCCGGTGTCAGACTGCAACGGACCAATGATGGAAAGATTTCATGATTAACTGAACTTTTAAAACTTCGTGCCACTGATAACTCTCAGACAGACAGGGCTCCTCTGAAGCAAACATCATGTGGATGGCAGCAAATGTTGCTCATAAACCCGTGAAGCTCTTTTTGAACTGAGGGTGGTCTCAGCCTGTGCAGCCACCTCTGGAAAAACCCAGAAACCATTCTAATGTTTGTCAAACCACGTCTTCATTGATCTACCCTGAAGCGTCAAAGCTCGTCCTTGAGGGCATGGTGAGGTGGTATTTTTACACACAGTCACATCACTAAATTACCTCATCAGCTCTGAGATTTTCCACCAATGTTTCATCTTCGTGGTGTTGATGTCGCAGCTTTTTAAGGCATGTTGCTGCCATCAAATTCAAACATGTTTTAAAATTCAAAGTCCGAGCCACAGACTGATTAAAGATGGATGTAGCTTCCAGTAAAGGTATCTGAAATCTGCGCTCTTTCTAAAGGCCACCAGGGGGCGACTGTCTGCAGAGGGACTGCGCTGCAGAGACGTCTGACACTTTATGGGCGCGTTCGCTCATTTTAAGTCTGTCTCGTGGTTTAGATTAGTTAGCCAATCAGTGTGCGGCTTTACAGTGAGAATAGGAGAGAGCGAAGACGCTCACCTCGAGGCTTCATAAATCAAACCAGTGGGTGGGGTAACGTTGGATACATCCATCTTTTTTACTGTCTGTGGCTCCAGCGTTCTGGCTCTGGGGATGTAAATTACATAACTGAGGAAGCAGAAGCCTAGAAAATATGTGCAGATGGCAGATGTTGATACCTGAGCGTCACAGAAGCTCAGCACGACTCCAAACAGCAGCAGGAAAGTCGTTCCCTTCATCCTGAAATCCAAACAAAAGGAAACAAGTTTTCACACATTTCCTCAAACAGTGAAGAAAATGAACCATATTTCATCACACAGCTGCTGTTCCTCAGGCAGGGATACCCTCTGCGCCAAACCAAACGCCCCTAATTTCTCCATAAGTGCAAAGAAAGGCTGAGCCAAACCAAGTCCAGAGGACGAGTAAAGAAAACAAGTTCAGCCGCCACAGAGGCTACAGAGACGAAATTATCCAAAACAAAGACACAATTCAAAGACAAAGATTAGAGTCAGAGCCAGAAAACCTCCGAGCTGTGGAAACTCTGTGAAGTTTATAGCAGGTTATGTAACAAACTCTGAGCTGCTCATCGGGACACAAATCATGATCTCAGGTCTGAGCTCAGCGTCCATGAAAGAGTAAGTCTGACACACACAACCCCGTTCAGCTGTCTTAGTGAGGACCTTCAGTGACATAATGCTTTCCCTAGCCCCTGACCCTGAACCTGACCATAACCTAATTGTAACCCTGACACTAAAACCACATTTTGAGCCTCAAAAAGGCTTCAAACTTGTGAGGACCGGTGTGTGTGTGTCCTCACAAGTGACTGTTGGTTCTCACAAGTATAGTAGGATGCAGATTTTGGTCCTCACAAAGATAGCTAGACAGGAACACACACACACACGGCCTGCTTTGTTCCACACACATCTGGACCTGGTGCTTGTACTTTTACATAAACAGAGGTCTGTCATTTGAACCTAAAACCACACACACACACCCACACACCACAGGCCTGATGGAAAACCCAGATGCTTTCTTCTTCTTTAACCTCCTGATCGTCGCAGTGTGTCTCATCTTTTCTTTCCTACAGCTTCATAAACTCAGAGATAACATGTCGTCAGTGAGATCGTTTAAACGTTTATGAGAGAAATAAAAAAATCTTTCAGATCATCTCAAACTGGTTTCTTGGAGATGTGAGACGGGGAGTGACAGGAAGCGCGAGCCCGTGAGTCCGAGGTCAGGGTTAATGAAAACTGCAGCAGAGATCTCCAAAAGTTGATTCTTCATCTGGACGTAGCGCTTTGTGGGAGATCTTATACACAGGACATTTGCATGATGACTGAAACCAGCCCACTGAAGGAGGTCAGGTCAGAGTTTGTTACATAACCTGTGAGGTCAGGGCTGGTTTCAGTCATCATGCAAATGTCCTGTGTATAAGATCTCCCACAAAGCGCTACGTCCAGATGAAGAATCAACTTTTGGAGATTTACTTTCCTGGATGATTGAGATGCATCAAAATGCAGCAGCACTGAGGGCTGGGTGAGCTGTACCTAATAATTTGTCCCTCTAGTGCGTGGATAAGAATACCTGCGCACGCGCCCCGAGATACACAACAGTGTTTCTGCAGAACGACACACGTCAGTGTAAACGGGTGCAGAGAGGTGACGTCGTTGACGTCTCAACCTGGACTACTGTGTGTGTGTGTGTGTGTGTGTGTGTGTGTGTGTGTGTGTGTGTGTGTGTGTGTGTGTGCGTGCTCGCGCGCTAATCCCCCCGCCCCTGCAGACCAGCTGACTCAGCGCGCTCCCGTTCCTGCACTGACTTGTCTCCGGTCCTCACTGGAAAGTTTCTTCATTGGCTGTTTGTGAACTCTTTGATATCACATCAGGGATTTTTAAAGTCCAGGTCACTAACCTGAACATATTCCACAGTGAAATATTTTTCTTGGCACGAAATTCTTTACAACCCCAAATATCTTCAAACCTGCAAACTTATTAAAAATCATCCGTTTTATCCGAACAATGAGAATTTAGAAAAATTAAAAATGTCCTTACAGACCGAAGCTGATGATCGTCTACTTGGTTTTAGTGACTCTGACCTGCTGCTCTTATATAAGCTGCTGAGTGGAAAAGCCCAGACTGGCTGCTGAACAGGAGGAAAAACGCAGCGTGTCTGAGAAACAGCAAGTTTTTCACAAAGTCTGAATCAAAGCGCTTTGAATCCTGCAGAAAACCTCCCTGTGCTTCATGTCTGAGCTGCGCTGCTACGAATACGTTCAAGTTTTACACTTTTTATTCCAGCTGGCGCAAATAAAACGATGCAAAAAAAAAAAGTTCAAATTTGTGCGTAAAAAGCGCAGAAATGCATCTAGTGCAGCGAGAGTCACTCACCTCTCTGCTCCACGTCGATCAGCGTCCCTGCCAGCTCAGAAAGTGAGTCTTCCACCCCGCTGACGCCTCTTGTCTCGGCACCCTCAGCGGCGCGCATCCAGCTGCTGCCAGCAGAGGCAGCGGGAGCGCGCATAGATCCAGAAAAAAACGAAGCTTAAAAAATTCTGGTATTTAATAAAAAGTGTAAGCACCTTAAAATAACTGAAGTTTTGAGAGAACACAAAGAAACAACAGCTCAGGAGTGTTTCAGAGAAATCAGCTGACGTGAAGCAAAGACTGTAGATGAAAGATGTATATGATCATGTGACACCACCCGATGGTTTCTGGCCTCCACACGTCTCTGTGCACGTTCTTGTGCCTGTTTGTGGTCCAAGTGCTGTTCAAACACAAAGTTTGCATCTACATAAAAAAAACCTTTTACCCAGAGTGCATTTGAATCAAAAGAATGAAAACTGTCAGTTATATTATCTGAACACTGCTGTCGTCCAGGATGTGACATATCTCCACCACTGTTTTTAAGATAAGATAAGATAAGATAAGATAGCCTTTATTAATCCCACATGTGGGAACTTTGTTTGGAGATGTGAGGTCCTGCTAGCAGATAAAAATCTGTCATCTGTTCCTGAGCAAACCCTCAAACTTTGGTTAAAGCACCTTCTTCACCTGTGACTGATCTGGCTGTCTTTATTCTACTACATGTCCCACTGTTGTTTTATTTTGGTTTATTAAATTCATTGTTTCTGCACAGTGCTGCTGAGCGCCTGAAGGTCATGGGCAGCCAGTGATTTTCAGCCTCATCCTGTGCGTAAAGAGATTTCTCCAGATTGTTCAAATCTTTTGATGATATAATATACTCTGATCAGATGTTCAGTTTTCACTGTTAACGTTGATGAGCACTACTCTGTAGCTGTATTTGTAGATGTTTAGATGCAGTTTTTGTAGATTAATAAACCGTCTACTGACCTACTGAAAATGAACCTGATTGGCTGCCCATCCATCCATTTCTTTACTTGTTACTTTTGTTTCTTTTCCAGCATCTTTCATTTATTTATTTATTTTTTGCCACCATCCCAACTTTTAGTGTCGATAATATTTTTCATGCAATGTCTCTCTTTCAACATCTGATATCAAATCATTGCGGCCTGTTTGTTATACAGAGTCTTGACTTTGCACTTCTGTGACCTGACAATGCAGCGAGTCAATGACAGCAATAAGAAAACCCTGTTAGTGTGGCTAATGTGGCTGCTAGCACCACAACATATAACATACTGATGCTATGTGACAAATCGTAGGTATGTTACATGTTCAAAGGCATGAGAGCCACTAAATGTGACAAATCATCGGTATGTTATGCATTGAGAATGAGAATGCTCTCGCTAGCATTGATAAGGAAACTAATGATCTATAAAAACTGTACCGTGTGTGACTAACTGCCTCCACTAAACTGTGAGCCTGCTACTTTCCTTCTCCTTTGTTCTGTCACTCACACTGGATGTTGATTAAGTTAAATTTCTGAAAAAATCTGTTTCTGTGTTTTGAGACAACAGAACGACTGACAGATTACTTTAAAGTAACCTGTAAACTACAGGAAACATCATTAAGATGCACAAGAGACGTAAGCCAGATTTTGAAACTATGCCAACATTCATTCTTTCAGGTCAGTTCAAAGCTGCATACACAGAAAGTGGCTGGTAAAGAACCAAGTACATTAAAACTTTGAAACCTGCAGCATACAGGCATTGTACAAAAAATCATCTGTAGGTTATTTCATGATAAAATGTGAATTATACATTCTGGGTGTGTGTGGGTAATTTTTACTGTGTAACAGGTGTGTTAGCTTTTTTGTTTATTCCACTTCATCTCTTAAAATAAAATCAACACACTAAAAATGAAACTTCTGTAAGAAAACAACATTCATGATGCACAATTTTGTGGAAAACGTTTTTTTTTTTGTATCAAACAACTTTTATGAATTTGTGTGTGAAGCTCTGAAATGCACCAGCAGTCACTGAACACTTCATCAGAAACCTAAAATGTTTTAAAATGTCATTGTTAAAAGTTTTTGCATGAACTTTTTGGAACAACCGATTCCTGCATCTGTATTTTTTGTTAATCTACAATAACTTGTGAACACCAGGCGCTTCCTCTGCTGTAATTCTAAGTGCACTTTCATATCAGATGCGGTATGCACCGCACTCACCGCTACCTAGAAAAGTTCAACTTTGAACTTTGACCATGCACGTGTACTCACGCTGCCGCGCTGGCGCTTTCCTTGGCACAGCAGGAAACCGTTATTGTGCAGTGCAAACAATAGAACTGAATGTGTTTCAGAGCACAGCGCTGCATGTGCTGCTTCCAGCGTGAAAGGGCCTTAAATCTGCTTTAAAGGGAAAATGACTGACACTTTTGAAAATAAGCTAATTTTGCTTTACAGAGGAGTTAGGATGAAACAAATAAGACATGAAGTATAATTAATGAACTTTAGAAGTGCTTTTACATGTATATTGATTTCCAGTCCCTTACTGTAAGCAAATCTAAATTGTTTGTTTTCCCAAAATAAAATCTTTTCTTTAACTTTACACAGTTCAAAACTCAGGGAAGTCTATAGTACCATTCCCATTACCAGAGATGGGTTTGTATGACTGCTTGTTGTGGGACTCATCATTCAGCATGGGGTTGTCGGGGGCAGGGTTTGTGACGATGCCCATGAAGAGGGGGGTCAAGGAGGCGTCATCGACGAGAGCAAAAAGAAAAGGGGAGTTTACAGAGAACATGGAGACTGAGCGCATGGAGGTTACAACGGTGGTGGCCGAGGCCTCGACACCTTCTTCACTGAGTTCTATTGTGCTGGCGTGCCGGATGCCGGTCACCGTGAGGGGCTGGTCCGATATCCCAGAGAGGTCAGGACCAGAGAACAGAGAGCCAAGGCCTGATAGATACAATGAGAGAGAGAGAAAAATGTCAAACGCTTGCAGACTAACAAGTTTTGGTCAGTCCCTGCAGGTAACAACAACTTGTGGAACCACACAATTTCATAAGTTTGGCTCTTTTTTTTCATTCTCAGGACCAAAATGAATGCTGAACTGGAGTAATAGTCAGTTGGCGGTTGTCGGTAAAATCAAGGTCGTTAAGTCTGACGTTACCAGCCATGTCTGTGCCCAAACTCCGCTGCAGGTCCCAAAATCAAACGAACACTGCTGGATCACTGACAGTTGAAAAACTGTCTAAATTCTTTCATCTGTAATAAAATGATCACTGTGGCTGCTC